ATTTTGATCTTGAATTAACTGCAAATAAAACTAATCGATTTCTGAACTTTAACCTCAAATATTAAAAAAAAACAAGTTAACAATAAAAATTGTTGGTTAGCAGAGGATATGAACGTATCTAATGGATCGACTCAATACATTTTGATTAATGTTTCAGGTATGAAGCAAAAGAGATGCTTGACAACATAGCTGACGAGCCTACATTCATCAAACGCATAATTACTGGTGGCGAAACGTGGGTTTATGAATATGACGTCGAAACTTTTCAACAATATAGCGAATGGCGCTCTAAAAATTGGCCAAAACCGAAACAACCAAAATTTGCTGTAGGCACTGAAGGCCATTCAAGCCGAAGCTTATAACAAGTATATAGAAAATTAAATTAAGCCTTGGCATGCATGTGTTGGCTCTCGAGTTTATCGAAAATATTTATTTTTTGTCTGTCCGGGTCAAATTCGATGGTATAGTATATTTATTATTTACAAAAAATAGTTTACTAAGTAGTTATTTTATTAGATATTTCCATCCATATGTGGAAGAATGTTCCAAAAATGTGTTTTGAATGGTATTATTCATTGAAGCTATAGGCTAAGAATCGATAGTCTGGTGACCATCGGTATTCAATATTCTCTAGCTTTAGATGGCGTTTCAAGTTCTTGGATTCAATAACGAGTATATAAATCACTAGGCCTTGGCGATCATAAATTTTGTTTATTTACCACCACTAATAGTCAAAATTTCGAAATTAAATTGCAGAAAATTCGATATTTCTTCATTATTTCCGTAGAGAATTCTTAAGACACATGCTTATGCAAGCCTAAGAGCAATACAAGTCATCATATATAGTTTCTCTAATTTAATTTCCTTCATTCGAATTCAGAGTTCGTTCGTTTCGGGGCTCGTTTTCATATCAACTTTCAATAGAATTAAGAACAAAGTTTCAAAAAACCTCATTGAAACCTTAAGCGCCGATTACAAAATCAATTGCGGAATAACTATTATCCCACATAGAATACCACCAAAAATGCCACCAAACTTCAATGCTCTTTCGAACAAATATTTTTGAAATGCAAAATTCTAAAACGAAGCTCTGCAACATTACACACAAAACTTTATTTCCTTACCAATAATTGTATTGAAATACCTTTTAACCTAACAATAACAATGTAGACACGCTTTATAGCCTAACTCATTATGTAATCGCTGCTTTCATACCCATACACAAGTATAACTTTGGTTACTTTCATTTATATAAAATATATTTCTTTCATATATTCATACTTGCGTCTCGTTTCTCAGTCTCCCCACAGTGAGAATAAAATTTCAGCTTACAATGTATTTGTAGTAACGCAAGCAAAAACTTTTAATAACATAAGCTTACGGATAAATGCTGGCAATAACACACAAACACGCATCAGTAAACTTCCAAATAAATATATATGCATAAATATATTTATATGTACATGCATATATAATGTTAAGAGATATGAAAACTTTGTTGCCACAATGTAAATATTTATATGAGCAAAATATATACATAGAATACTCTACAAATGATACAGTTACACTGCGTATACGAGGGCCAATCGAGAAGTGCGAACATTTAATACACAGAACAGGGTTTGCTACGAAGATTGTAGCACCCAGAAAGAAATTTCAGAGACCTTATAAAGTTATATACATATGTATATAAAAATTATCAATCTGACAAGCTGAGTGAATTTAGCCATGTCCATCCGTCTGTCTGTATATACGTAAACTAGTAAACTCAGTTTTTGAGGTATCGTTCTGAAATTTTGGACACGTTCCTTTTCCAAAGTTCTTAACCGATTTCGATAATATTGATGTAAAAAATGTTTAAATTACTTGGTTAGAATCTAAAAAAAAATTTTTTTTTACTGCAGATTTTTGGTCAAAACACTGTGCTGAATATGTAATAATTACTATAATTACCATTACCAGGTATATCCTATAGGTTCACTAAGCCCATACAGCATGAGCTGGTATTACTTCACTACCTCGTTTCTATGAGAAATTGATAAAATTTTGGGTTATAGTGGATAGGACCTCACATCAAATCGGTCTAAATTTGTCGATAAATCGAGGAAATATTCGGAACAGTGAGATTAATGGAACGTCAGTGGAAGTATATCTAATCGATTTGACTAAGAGAAACACGCGACCTGCGGTCTTTTGTGACATATTATTTTGGACCATAACCCAGTGATTCGAATAATTTTAGAGGGTCTATAATGGAAATTGAGGAGTTTAGAACAATTTAAAAATCGAAATTTTGTACTAACTCGTTTTTCTTGTGGATATAATAGTTCATTATTAAAAAAAATTAAACCCAAAAAATACGAAAAAAGTAGGGTTATATTGAGATTTGAATTTTAGATTATATTTTATTTTTAAATACACTCTAAAATTCTAAAGCCAGTTGAGGATACACTGTAATCAATTTATGTATGTACTTATATATCGTGCAAACTTAATATACCCTGCCCAAGGTATTAAAAAAAAAACAAAAGCAATTTTTGTTTGATCGTTTCCTATTTTCCGCGGTTCCTTCTTTAGCAATTCCTCTTACAATTAAAAAGTTTGCATATTTTTTTAATTTAATCAAACCTAACCTCAAATTATTTTTCTCAGTGTACAGTGCAATGCACGCTAACTGGCTGTTGTGTGCGTGTGTTATGTATGTGGCTGTGTAAAAAAAACGCGAATGCTTAATCAGAAACGCATCATTGCAAACGGCGGAATTCTTAATCTGGCATTAATACAATTTTCAACAACATACAAAGCGCGACTCAAACATACATATGTGCATAACATATAAATGTATGTATGACTATATATATATACGTCTGTATATACAAAGCCTGTGGCCGAACGTGTTGAAGGTGGCTCGACAAGAGCACACACATGAGGACCAACCACGAGACCGAGCCATCAGAGAGTGACTAAAGTGACGCTGAGCCAGTGAATGCTTAATCAGAAGTTAGGGACAACAATCGGTACGATTATATATACATTTGTATATATCTCTACAAAGAGGCAGTGAAGCCGTTTGTCGAAAAAATAGGCACACACTCGCTTTGGATTTGTTATTGTAGACATGCTACAAAAGCAAGCAAAACAGCAAAGAAAAAGCAAACAAATCAAACTAGAACCTCGAGAGCGCGGCATACACCTCCACCCTCGATGGCTGCATTTGAAATGGGCATTGTCGTTGTCACTGTTGTGGCTACTGTTACTTTTCATCGTTTTATTGCCATTTCTTCTCCAACCGCATGCAATTCTCTCTAGTTGGTTGTGTTGTTTTTGGTGTTCGTGTCGCTGATGTTGAAATGATGTTTGACCCATATTGGAATTTGTCTGCTCGCTACAACAACAACGGCGTCTGGACTCACATGCGCCAAAAAGGGCTGCACCAAACAGGCGGATATTGAATGGCGTGTTGGTGGGACGACGGTCGGGTGGCAGCGCATGCGAGCGGGCAGATAGCATTTGTGAATTACAATGAATTACCTATTTCTATGTCAACAACAGCGTGCCGTGCCTAACAATTTTTTGTAAACAAGTTCGTGTTGTTGGGGTGAGCGCGAACGCTGAAAGCCGCTGTGGCTGCACTGACAGTGTTTTAGCCGTCGTCAGTTACCGCGCTGTAAGGTGCTTGAACCCAATGGATGTGAATATTAGTGAGAATATGTTCGCAAGAGCTTAGACTTAAAATTATGTCATAAAGTAGAGAGTGTATTTTTAGACTTTTTATGGTGGGTAGCCATAAATGGCATGGACACAATGTGTGCAATGCGAAAAGGGCTACTGAAATAAATACGGCTACTAATGGAGACTGGTGCTTGGACAATAGCCGGTGCTGGAATTTGCAAGACCTGAAGACAAATAATTGATTTCGGAGATTAAATCGGAAGCGTAAGGCTTGTTCCCATAAAATAATGGTATAGTGGTCCGATCAGAACAATTTGATCATTCCAAATTTCGTGAAGATATCTTGTTCAAAAAAAACTTTTCGATGCAAGGACATAATTTTGATTGTTCCGTTTGTATGGCAGCTATATGCTATAGTGGTCCGATATCGGGGGTTCCGACAAATGAGCAGCTTCTTAGTGAGAAAAGGACAGGTGCAAAATTTCAGATCGATAGCTTAAAAGCTGAGGGACTAGTTTGCATATATACAGACGGACAGACGGACAGACGGACGGACGGACAGACAGACGGACATTGCTAAATAGGATACCCGACGTTTATTGATGTTACAAACTTCGTGACTAACTTAATATACCCTGTTAAGAGTATAAAAATAGTGAAATTATGATTGATCAGACACGGTTATCCCGATTCTATTCATGAAATTCATTACTATCATCTCTTACAGTGTCGTGGACGGCTGCTGTCAACAATTCAGACGAATCGGACGCGCAATTACATTCAATAATGTGTGTAAGTGGGCATGTCTACGTATTATAGAAAAGTGGAATTATCAGTCAGTTAGTCGATTTCTGTGTCGTTTCTTGACCGTCGACTAAACATGGTTCCGCTTGAACATGCCAGAGATCAAAGAAGAGTTGAAACAGTGGACTTCACTGGCGAACCTGATTCTAAGAAGGCGAAGACTGTTCTAATTGATGAGTGATCGGTTTGAAGCCAGAACCCAAAGAACAACGGGGGTTCAACAAGGTTTTCAGCGATTTTTGTTGAACTTAAGAATAATTCCTTTAAAGTAACAGGTGGCGTCTTAAGCTGTCCAAGTGGGATCCCTTCTGGGATCGACCTCCTAACCTAACCCTAACCCTAACAGGTGGAAAAAGTCGAATAGACGTTTTTGGTGTAGTAAAGATAAATCAATTTCCAATCCACCAAAGCCACATTTGTTTCTTAATGGGCAATTCCAATATACAAAAACGTTCGCATTCTCTACCAAAGAACGAGAAAAGTATTTCTAATAAAAGTTCGTATAAAGAATTCAGTGCACTCACCTTCGTTATCGCTGCGACGTGTACGTGGCATACTGTTGTAATACTGCTGAATTTCCGATTTCTCAGTCGATTCATTCTCCTGCTTTTCATCTTCGGTGTAGACCGGTGAACAAGGTCCGGACGAAGCGCTCGCGGCTGGCGAAGACGATGTAGCCGAATTAACACTACCGCTCAGTCCATTAGCGCCACCACCTAGGCTGTCTACGGAACCACGCTTTGCGGCAACCGCAACATATTGGAATGTAGCTGAGGTGGGCGAGGATGGCGTGAGTCGTTCTTCATCCTCAATGAGATCAATGGATTTTTTACGTGGCTTCTCGGGTGGTACTGGCGCATTTGAAGAAATAGCAGCAGCAGCAGCGGCGGCGGCGGCAGCTTGTTGTTCATCTAGTGAACGCTGTAGTGCTGCGGTGACCGCTGCTGATTTGGCAGGTGGCGGCGGTGGCTGTGACGACACATCGGGCAGCTTTGTAGGCGAACGTACACGCTCCGGATTGAATTTAACTGGACTGACGTTTTTCGGTTTGGCAGCTGGTATGGGTGGCAATGGTGGCGACTTGATGGGGCTACCAATTTTATTGGTACTACGCGGTTTTATTTCCGGTGGTACGACCGTATGACGTACCGGTGGACTGGGTGGATGATCCTGTGTTTGCTGATGCTGCTGGGCAGCAGCTAAGATAGGAGAGCGTAACTGTTCCATGGCGGATACAGCTGTATTGGCAGCGTTGGGCTTATGATTGGCGTTTGGAGAGGCCACCGTTATGGCAATATTGGCATTATCCTTTTCCCGATCACGCTCTTTATCACGTTCACGATCTCTATCTCTGTCCTTCTCTTTTTCTCTCTCCTTTTCCTTCTCTTTCATCTGTATGGCCGAGCTGGAAAAGAGCGTGGTGCCCGGCACGGTGCGTATGATGTCACAGCGATTTTGATCGCTATGTGTACGATTTGATTTTGTTTTTGTAAAGTGTGAAGTCCACTTCTTTTGCTTCTCGATTAACTCGCGTGAATTGAATTTACGTTCCGGTTTTTCCGGCTTATCGACACTACCGCCACCGGCTGAGAGTATGGCACTCACACCGCCAACCGATGGACCACTCAACACACCGTCTTCCGATTTGTGACGTGCTATATTGTGATGTAGTTTCGTACCCGGTTCTACAATAAATTTACTATTACTCAGCGCTAAACCACCATTTAATTGCGGTGGTGGTGCACAGTTATTATTATTCGCCAACGATGCAGCCACATTACAACCGGGTGGAAATGGCGACCGTCGTTTCGGTGGCGATATCGAACGATCTGACGAACGCGACGACGAACGATCCGAACTATTGCCTTCACAAAGATTATCGTCACGCGAGCCAGAACGTGACATTTTCACATTCGAATTTGAATTATTCTCTACGCCGAGCTTCTCGAATAGGGCTCGTGCATTATTGAAACGCGCCGAATGTGATTCAGTGCGTACAACTGTGGCCGGTATGCCAACTCCACCACCTCCTGCTTGTTGTTGCTGATTAGCTGCAGCGGCAGCGGCGGCGGCAGCAGCAGCAGCGGCGGCGGCGCTTAACTGTTCAACTGGTTGTATTTCGATGGGTTTGCGCTGGAAGAGATTCGCTATTTGCGAAACTTTACCAACTGGCGTCGGATGTATGGGTTTCTCCATTTTGGCTGTGAAGAATTATATTCAATAGCGGTATTAGAGTCGTCTGAAAAGAGACAAAACAGTAGAAAATATATTTATTTTAATATAAAAACACAATATAAATAACGTTAAATTTTGAAAGCTTCAAATATCCTAAAAATCCTTGTCTAAAATATTTTTTTCTACAAAAAATTATAGATTGAACAATTAAGGTATGTTACAGATATCGATAGGAAATCAACTGAAAATTAATATAATCGACCATGAAAATGGTTGAAGCGACGATTCTCATAATTGCAATATTAAAAACAAAAATTTTCAGAAAAGAGACCACCTACAGATTAAAATGATATATCAGGTATTATATTGGCTACCAATTCATTAGAGCGTCTTTTAGGCGAGACTCTATATATGTAATCAATAGAGCCCCCTGCAACTTCTCGTAGCATTACTATAGAAATGTTTGTCGTTTGCTTTAAGAGAGAGCTCAGTCTCAAGGGCCTCATCGTTATATATAAGTATGTATTATCTTCGTTAAATTTCCTTCTAGCCAGCATTTTTTTGAGGTTTGAGAATAGGAATAAACATCTGAAGCCAAATTCGGAGTGCAGCGATGTGTGTTGAATCAATTCGAAGCTGTTTAATAAAGTTTTGCTATAATTCTCTTCGATTTGTGATACCATGAATCGGTCTATTGTGAGTCCCGATTTCACAGAACTTTTGCATATCAAAATAATAGCGAACGACATGCCAACATACCCAGTCGCTTGATATCTTTAGGAGTGCCAGCTATATATTATAGCTGATGGTAGGGAAGAGCTTTATAGAAGGGGGTTAAAAAATTTTCCTTTAAAGCCTGTTTTTTTAGTTTTTCAAAGTAAAATTTCTTTTTTATATATTTCTGTTTCTTTAGATCGATTGCTTTCATATATGCATAAAATCCATTGAAATTTACAACACTTAAAATAAAGCAGTTAATTATGGAAGAAAAAAATATATGTACATATATGATTATATATATAATATTATATGAACCTATACCTAACGATGACACCCTTTATGTACAAAGCTATTAATATGGTCATGTGTTATGATATGCATTTAAGAGATTACATGCCAAATTACCATTTTGATGAAGTAGACTTTCATTTCTCTCAAACACCAACACACAAATTAGTTAAAATAAATTAAAATAATACAAAATTACAAAAAAAAAAAAATATTTGTTGAAGCAGAGTTTCACTCTTTCAATGCCAATTAATAATGAAAACACTTTTACTTCCGCTGACACCCGCACAACAACAACTTCGTTTTCGATACGAATAAAATTATACCGATCACGTTTCTTTAATTGTCGTTGTTGTTGCATAAATTCATGCATTGACCGAAATGAACCGTCATTCTGTGAACACAAACCGAAATCGTAATAGAGAGGAAAAGACCAATAAGTATGACCAAATTGTAACTTCCACTTGAGATTGCGCTTTCGTTGGCTTTTTTGCGAAAGTCGCTGAAGTTGTTATTGTTTTTTTGTATGTTTTCGAAGGTTTTAGAGCAGAAATCGAAATATTTCACTTAACAAGTTCCGCCTCGACCACGGCAAGTGTTCAATTGAGCTGTTTTATGCACTACACCTGTGTCGTGTGACTGAACGATGACTGAAGGCGATGGCGGTGAACGCCAAAGACGTAGGCAGCAATGCTGGTGGCGGCGTTGTCGATATGATGAGATAGCTCACGAACATTTTTTGCAATTTTCCCTTACTTTTTTTCCTTATTTATTTATTTTTTTTTTCTTTTTGTTACTGACGTGTGTACCTACTACTTCGTCTGCAACGCTATCACTTGTAAATACATACCGATATACAAACATACATACAATTACTGTTATCGATGCATATGTACATGAAATTGATTTTTATTATGAATGTTATGAGGTGTCCATGAAAAATGTGTACATATGCTTGCATTTGTATGTGTAGGTGTGTGTGGTGGCATGACAAGCGCGGGTGGGGGCAGGCAAGTGTAAGGCATGCTGAGCGAAGCAAAAGAAAGTATGAAAAACAACGAAAATTGCAAACGAATAAAAGTGTTAAGCGAAGTGTAGGCGAATGAGACTCACAAGCGAACATTTCCATAGAATCGCAATAAATTATTAACAAAAAGAGAAAAGGAAAATACAAGAAGATACAACAACCGTTGAAGAAAAGGAATGTGAGAAAATGGTCACTTAAGCGATTGTGTTGAGCGCACACACGAAATGAATAACAATGAGTGTATCAAATATCAATGGTTGTGCTGAAAGCTCAGCAAAATCAATTAAGAATATATATGTATGTATGTATGCTGCATACAGGTTATGTGCAATGAAATGGAAACACTATAGTTAGTTTGAAATATTCATGTAAGAATATCATTACATATATATTAGATAATTCATACTTATATATTAGATAATTCATCAAGTAAGCAAAAGCGTCGTCAAGTACGACACCGAATATACTTGTTAGATAACGGTAAACGTAGAACCATATTGAGGATTCAGATCGATTTATGCATTGTAATCGTATGTTTCTTACAAAATTTCATACCACTGTTTTTAACGAGAAACGATCATAGAAAGAGCCACCAAATAATTTTATGCCTACATTTTGCCAGCTGATCAAATGTGACCCGGACTGTGGTCCATTTAGATTGTGCGCGCAAACTTAATCGACAAAAAAAATACTTAGGTTGGTACAACCTTTTCTATATCCGTGTGAAATTTGATATATACAAGTATATATGACAACTAGCGTGTGTTTACGACGCGAGAATTTTGTCTGGCGATTTTTGCTTCGAAAAAAATTTAAAAAGGAGTTTACTTGAAATCTTGTATTTAAAAATTTTGCATAAGTGGTTTTGGAAACTACTTTGTCACGAACACAAGTATTTGTGTGACACAAAGCATTCAGTGAAGGTCGTAAAATCGTCGAAAACTTGACCATGCTAGTCGACACACAAAAACAGTGCATGAAAATCGTTGTCTTGGGGTCAGAGAGCTTACAGAGGATCTCAACATCTCTTATGAAGGATGTCAAAGAGACCTGAATCTTTTACAAAAACGACGTCGAGGTTCAAAATTCTCAAACGAGATGCTTGATAACGTAGCTGACGGCCGTACATTTATCAAACGCATCATTACTGGTGACGAGACGTAGGTTTATGAATATGATGTCGAAACTGTCCTACCAAAACTCGCTGAAGGCACTAAAAGCCATCCCAGCCGAGGCTTATAACAAGTGTATGGAAAATTGGAGTAAACGTGGCATGCTTACATTGGCTCAGTAGCTTATTTTAGAGATGATAAACAATATGTAAATTAAAATACGTGAGAATGTAGTATTTTGTCAATCCGGGTCAAATTTGATCAGAAGTAAGAATTTATGAGAAATTACTCCATCGTCAAATTAAAACATATAATGCAAAATTGCATAAATTGGGCCTCGATTTGCTTTTACAATTTTTTACCGGGTCTCAGGACTTAAGAAAATACTCCCTGAGAAAAACGACATTAAACAATGGCAATTGCTTCTTTTGATGACTATTTCGAATCAAAAGACATATGGACCACATAAATGGTATCTAGAAGTTTTCAAAGTTTTCTCTAAAGACTTTCTAGCTTGCCTGGTGTGTATACATAGGTCGGAAGTCATATGATATCATAATATATGTAACTTTTTCCATATTTTAATAGACACCACCTGTATGCACTCTCATATTTTCATACTCGTATGTAGATTATATTTAGTATGCCTTATGCCGACGTTAAATTGCAGACAAGAGAGTGTGAATTGGCGGCAGAATAAGAAATCAGCAGTCGACTCTGCCGACGGGCAACTTTAACGCACCCGTGATTTGTATGTAAATAAAAACAATAATTTCTTGTTGATAACACATTACCATGAAATGTACAAGAACACAAAAGCACACGAACACCCACATAACAAAAGCAAGAATACGACGCAGCAGACATTATATCAAACATAAATTTAAAACAATAACCGAAGTGAAATTAAAGCAGAGAAGGGAGGCATTAGGAACACAGCGAATAAAGGAGAATAGGAAGGCACTGAAAGATGGTGGAAAAGCAAGTTGATGGCTATATTTAATAAATACGAAGATGTAACTCTTTCTGAAAAGAAAAATAAAGAAAGAACAAAAAAAAACGTTGAAACAGAAGCTAACATATAATACCCTTCACAAACAAAAAAGTTTTTCATATAAGAACTTGACTTTGATCGTTCAATTTGTATGACAGCCATATGCTATAGTATTCCGATCTGAACAATATGTTTGGAGTTTCCATACAAAAGCTTGATTTTAATCGATCAGTTTGTTTGACATATAGCTATAGTGCTCCAATATAGGCGGTTCCGACAAATGAACAACTTCTTGACTTGATAGGGTGGGTCTCCGACGTTTTCCTGTGTGTGTTACTAACTTCATGCCAAACTTAATATGCCCTGTTCACGGTATAATTACATATTTAAAATAGGTAAACATTAAAGCAGATTAAAAATAACGATATAATAAACACGACGAGAAGTTCGTTTGTTTCATATGTGATGAAATAAATATGACAAAAATGTAGATAAAACAATGAAAGGTGACACAAATAAGTAAGAATTAATAATACTTAAGGAATTTAAAATTTTCCAAACCCACCAATATGATCCAACAACATGGAGTATACACCGCATACTTTAAAATCAGTTTTCACCAATTTAACTATTTCAAGCCACACGAAATACAAAAATTATTATTTTTGAAACCGCTCAAAGAATTGTTGCAATTTTACACAAAATACTTTTTGATAACAGAAATATCTGAAATATTGTACTAATTGAAGTAACTCAAAACCGAAATAATTTCATCTCTGTCGGTAAGAATCAAATGAAACGCGAGACGTACGTAATTTTGACAGAAAAAAGAAACAAGAAGCTCACCAGGGCAAGCGCACCTATATACATACATATGTAAGCTTTCGCACGATAAAAAAGAAATATTAATTTAATAAGACCGT